CGCGCCATGCTCCACCTTAGCGAGTTTTCTGGCCCCGACACGCTTCTGGTCAAGTCCGCCGACGAGGGCTGTTGCTCGGAACCCAGCACCGAATTGCCCCGGCTGCCCGTCAGGGACGCGGCCGCTGGCTACCCCGGAGGTAAGAAGCGCGGCCGGGGGTGCTCAGACGGCGGCGCAGTGCGGGGGCGCACGGTGCCTGAGACAGGCTGGGATTGGGATGCAGGAGGTGTGGGGGTAGCGGTCGTAGGAAGCTCGGGGGTCTTGGGCTGCGCTCCGCCATTGCCACCCCACCGGGCCGTCAGCGCCTCCACGGGAAATTGTGCGTGTATCAAGGTGTCCTTTTTGCCTGTGCACGTGTATTTTGGATGTGCATGTTTCTGTGTGCGTCTTGGAGCGTATGGCTGCTCCAAATGGGTTAGAATGTGCAAAAAGGCACTTTATGTGTATCGGTGGGCACCAAGGGATCCTTGGGTAGGGGCCGCGGCCCGAGGCGCGCCCTTTCCTGTGCCTGGAGTTGATTCCTGCTCCTTCCTCAGCAGGCGACTTCTTGAGCTGGGCTTTGAGCAGCTGCAGCGCCGGGGGGGATTTAGCCGACTCCTGCTTCCTGGAGGGGCCTGCGCCCACACCCCCTCCCAGCCTCAGCTACAGCGGTAGCTTCTTCATCCAGGCAGTGCCCGAACACCCGCACGACCCGGAGTCACTCTTCAACCTCATGTCGGGCATCCTGGGCCTGGCACCTTTCCCCGGCCCGGAGGTGGCAGCATCCCGGTCTCCGCTGGACGCTTTTCCCTCGGTCCCCGACGCCTTTCTGGCGGGTCCGCCGGACCTTTACTCCTCGGATGTGGGCGCTGCCGCCTTCACAGAGGCGTTCTGGGAGGCCTCACCCTCGGCCGGCACCCCTTCGCAGTGCCTGTATGAGCCTCAGCTCTCCCCACCCGACGTCAAGCCAGGCCGCCGGGCCCCTCCGGCCTCTCCAGCGCTGGACACTGCCTCGGCCTTCAAAGGTCCCTATGCTCCCTGGGAGCTGCTTTCAGCCGGGGCCCCAGGGAGCTGTGGGTCCCAGGGAGGCTACCAGGCGCCCTCCGAGGCCCGTTTCCCCCCGATGGGGACCAAGATTGAAGACCTGCTGTCCATCAGTTGTCCCGCGGAGCTGCCGATCGACTCGGCCAACAGACCCTACCCGACGGGGGCCTACGACGCTTTCCCGCTGGCCTTGGGGAACTTGGGGGAGGCGGCCGAGGGCCTCCCGGGGCTCCTGACCCCTCCTAGCGGGGAGGGAGGGAGTAGTGGCGACGGCGGGGAGTTTCTGGCCGGTGCGCAGCCTCAGCTTTCCCCGCTGGGCCTCCGCAGCGCCGCGGTGGACTTCCCGAAACCCCTGGTGGTGGACATC